AAAGGGATAATGTAGGCATCATAACCACTTCAACGAATTGATATGGTGCCTGGAGTCCAAGTGTGCTGCTTCCTACATAGCTGTCAGATCACTGTTTTATTGTTTAGAAGGATGCAGCACAGCCTCCAATGGATGGAGAAAAGCTCCACCTTACATCATACCAGGCAGTGATAGCCTGAGAGCTTCAGCTGACTGTCAGACTATGACTCAGCATGGTGTAAGACAGAGCTACTCTCCATCTTTGCCACATAGTCATTGGGGGCACCACATTTAGCACAAGGAACTCTGTACAGCAGTAAGATAATGGTTTGATAAGGAAGTGGGAGATAGTGACTGCAGACTTGAGGCACCATAAACACTTCAGCAAGTTGAAATTATTATTGTGCCTACATTGTCCCTTTAAAAAAAGAAAAAAAAGAAAAGCAGCAGAAAGCAACTAAATATATCTGCAATCCAGGGATACACTCCTCAATCCATATGATCAATGGTCCAATCCAGTTCTTCTTAGCGAAAGCATTGCGGACCAATTGCCACAATTTTCGTAGTCCAAAGTTTCTCTTTGAGAACCATAAACCATGTTTGACGTCAATAAGCTGGGAAGCAGTGGGAGGGTAGTTTGGACATGCCAAATGTTGGTCCTGCAATCTCTGCAGGATTACAACCAGGATGCAAGTGACAGCCACTTGAGGTGGTGTTAAGGCAGCAATGTAAACACTGTATTTTCTAAGAAAAGGCAGTGTTTACATTCCTTAGACTACAGGGACAGTCTCTACTTTAAACCATTATTAATGGGCCTCTCCAGACCCTTTTAAATGCACTGCAGTGCTTTATGTGTGAAGTGTGAACTTTAATGAGAGGGTAGTGGATGCATGGAATAGGCTTCCAGCTGAAGTGGTAGAGGTTAACACAGTAACGGAGTTTAAGAATGCGTGGGATAGGCATAAGGCTATCCTAACTATAAGATAAGGCCAGGGACTAATGAAAGTATTTCGAAAATTGGGCAGACTAGATGGGCCGAATGGTTCTTATCTGCCGTCACATCCCATGTTTCTATGTATGTGTCCTCTTTTTGTCATTTTCCAAAATGTGCAAATTTCACTACAAATTGTAACTTTAATAAATTAACATAGTTAAGGAATTCAATGGCTGTCACTCAGGCAACTGTCCTGTTACTTCTTGCTTGTTTTGCTCAGTGGAGCTAAACTCAAGAGACAGCAATTGCAGAGAGCACCTGCCCTGTAAAGACTTCTCTTTGAGCTGCATTGGGAAGTCTGTGATTGGACAGCCACAGAAAGTCTGGACAGGGTTAGAAGGGGAGGGTTTGCAAAGGCTGCAGACAAATGATCTGCTGGTTTTGGAAGTTATTTTACTTATATCCCCAATGAAAAAAGGCATAATTAAATGCATGCATGTTTTCATTGGGGTTATATTTACTGAACAGTGGTTTGTTTTTTGGCACGTGTGCTATCCCTTTAAGCCGTAGGGATTTAATATATTTATTTTTAACATTAGCGTGTTCCTTTTTTATGTTAGATTACTGTGCATCATGTAAAAATAGAAAACCCTTTTTCTCCAATTAGATGCTTCTCGTAAAGAAGCATTGAGGATACGTGGCACATGCACAGCAGTGGCTCTTTAAAAAACACATAATTGGACTAAAGTTATCCTGATTAATGACTTTACGATGGGAATATTGTGCTACAGCGAGGAGCATGATCTTTCTCTTGATTTCAGGTATCACCACCTATTTATCTTTTTGGAGTTAAACCATTTTTCAATTGCTTAACCCTTAAGTGGAGTCACCCAGGCATGAGTCCATCTCACCTCTGTTTCCTTACGAATACATAAGCATTTTCTTAAGCAGCAGTTTAGAACAGTTTGATTACTTACTAGGGTCACCTAGGTGCAGTCTTTACTGAACTAACTAGGTCCAAGATAGGATTACACTCATTCAGCCAATTAGCGTGGTATGCCAGGGTAGCTTACCAGATTCTCCTTGCAAGTCTGTCACTACCTAAGTCACTAAGTGCCTGGCAAGACTTAGGTAGGTTATAGAACCATGTTAAAGCGGCACTGTCATGCCGAACTTACCTTTCCTCAATCTCTTCCTCTTCTCCCCCTCTCTCAGGATCTGTTATTCTTTTCTTCCTGTCTTCTTTAGTTTTCTTTAAAATCATAAGACAAAGTAGGGACTCTTTGCTTTATGGAGGATTCCTCCGCTTGACCAGCTCTGACCATCGGAGGAGCAAAGTGTGCTTCATTTCCGCTGGTCAGAGCAATTTTCCCATGATCCCTAGCTTTCCTCTGTGATCTCGCGATGCTTCCTGTCATTTTAGCTAAAACTGCCGAATTGCGTTCTAACTGAATGAGAACAGTATGTTCGTTTCTTTTAGAACGCAATTCGGCACTTTGTTTGTGTCGGTATCAGGGAGTTATCTACTAAAAGGCTGAAAGACCTAAATTGGTCTTTCAGCCAAATTTACTAATACTAAGTAAAGATTACTTAGTATTAGTAAATAATATGCCCCTACTCACTATATCGCGAGTAGGGGCATGTGTAGTAAGCAGTGAGCAGCTTATAGCTGCTCACTGTAAAAAAAAAACCCCCAAAAAACTAATAACCCCCCCTGTCCGTGGGGGCCCTAAATAAAGATGGGGGGGGACCTACTGTAGGTCCCCCCCCCTTATTGTTTTATTAGGGCCCCCACCCACCGCTCAGGGGTGGGGGCCGGGGGGGAGGACAGTAGGTCCCCCCCCTTATTGTTTTATAAGGGCCCCCACCCACCGCTCAGGGGTGGGGTCAGGGTGGGAGGACAGTAGGCCCCCCCCCTTATTGTTTTATTAGGGCCCCCACCCACCGCGCAGGGGTGGGGGCCAGGGGGGAGGACAGTAGGTCCCCCCCCTTATTGTTTTACAAGGGCTCCCACCCACCGCGCAGGGGTGGGGGCCAGGGGGGAGGACAGTAGGTCCCCCCCCTTATTGTTTTATAAGGGCCCCCACCCACCGCGCAGGTTGGGGGGGAGGACAGTAGGTCCCCCCCCTCATTATGATTATGGCCCCCACCCGCCGCCCAGGGGTGGGGTCCGGGGGGGGGCAGTATTGGTCCCCCTCATTATCAAAATGGCCCCCACCCGCCGCCCAGGGGTGGGGGCCGGGGGGGGGAGGACAGTAGGTCCCCCCCTCATTATCAAAATGGCCCCCACCCGCCGTCCAGGGGCGGGGGCCGGGGGGGAGGACAGTAGGTCCCCCCCCCTCATTATCTTCATGGCCCCCACCCGCCACTCAGGGTGGGGGATGGGGGGAGGACAATAGGTCCGCCCCCCCTTATTGTAATTTATGTAATTTTTTTTCAACAGTGAACAGCCACAGGCTGCTCACTATTTAGTAGACATGCCCCTACTCGCGGTATCGCGAGTAGGGGCATTTGGGAGATTTTAATCTCCCTTGTGCTATTATGGGGGTCATATTGGGGGGGCTGGGGGGGCTTATGAAGTGGCGGGGAGCACTGCTCCCTGCCGCTTCTATCTTTACATATTACAAGGAGGGAGCTGCACGCCTGTAGCTCCCTCCTTGTAATAAACTGAACGAACAAACTAACACTGATACACAGTGTTAGTTTGTTCGTCTGACATTTCTATTCATTCATTCGTCTGTCTGATGAATGAATGAATAGATGAAATTCCTGTTCGCATGTCCAGGTGTTTCACTGGGCATGTGCGGGAATCTCACAGTCTGTCTAGTGTGGGCAGATGACGTGTCCCTGAGGGACTTCACCTACCCACACAAAGATGGCAGCACCCTGAATATAGATCGGGGCAGAAAATAAAGATTTAAAAAGAGGTAATCTGGGGGGCTTAAGGGTATTTGGGGGTGACTAGTGGGTCAATTGGATGGAGTGGAGGCGGGAGGGAGGTTAAAAAAAAAAAACGTGATTCGGCATGACAGTGCCGCTTTAAAACAGTTTGACAAATGACTCTAAGTGAATATCATGGTAGTCTGGGAAGCATAACCGCTACAAAGGGCTGTAGTCAGTGGCGTACCTACCACGGTCGAAGGGGTCTCTGCTGCGACCGGCCCGTCACTCCAGGGGCACGGCTGCATCTGCGACCCCTACAAACGTGGGCTGCTTACATACTGAGGGAATGAGACACATGGTGGGCTGGGGGGATGGGGGGGAGGGGGAGGTAGAGTGAGACTGGGTCCCGGTGGTTTCTAGTTACACCTCTAGCTGTAGTGGTTATGGTGTGTTCCATTCAGTGATAAACAGTTGAAGGTGAGAAGGTACCAGTGGATCCTGGGCACCATAGCCACTTCATTGGCTATTCCCTGAAGGTGGAAGGGCTGTTATGGACATTCTGAAATAATGCAGGTGTTTAAAATGAAAAAACGAAACCGTTACTAGAGACATGTTTTAGGCAAAATGCAATGTTTTTCATTGACAGTCAAAAGGATCAGCATGTATGCACTTTTAGTGTTCCTTTAACAAACAATGATAATGGAAAATGCATATTACAGCATTCCAGTGCTGCATGTTGAATATTTTATATGTATCCTTTGTTAAAGAAATATGGTGATATCAAAGCCCAACTGGGACTACAAACAGACCTGGCACGCAGCAACAATTTTTATCCCCTTTAACCCCTTAAGGACACATGACACGTGTGACATGTCATGATTCCCTTTTATTCCAGAAGTTTGGTCCTTAAGGGGTTAAAAACACCCGTTTTATTGCATGTTTGAATATTGGCTGTATTTGTGGTGGGTGACACTTTGCGTGAATATGGGGGAGTATTCGTGTAGTGTTGCGGTGTGTGTAAATATGGAGGCATATTTGTATTCTGCGGACCCTGGGGACTGGCTGAGTACTGAGGACCCTGGGAACTGGCTGAATACTGAGGACCCTGGGAACTGGCTGAATACTGAGGACCCTAGGAACTGGCTGAATACTGAGGACCCTAGGAACTGGCTGAATACTGAGGACCCTGGGAACTGGCTGAATAATGTGGAACTGGCTGAATACTGAGGACCCTGGGAACTGTCTGAATACTAAGGACCCTGGGAACTGTCTGAATACTGAGGACCATGGGAACGGGCTGAATACTAAGGAACCTGGGATCTGGCTGAATACTGAGGACCTTGGGATCTGGCTGAATACTGAGGACCCTGGAAACTGGCTGAACACTGAGGACCCTGGAAACTGGATGAATACTGAGGACCCTAGAATCTGGCTGAATACTGAGGACCATGGGAACTGGCTGAATACTGAGGACCCTGTGAACTGGCTGAATACTGAGGACCTTGAAAACTGGCTGAATACTGAGGACTTTGAGAACTGGCTGAATACTGAAGATCCTGGGATCTGGCTGAATACTGTGGAACTGGCTGAATACTGTGGAACTGGTTGAATTCGGAGGACCCTGGGAACTTGCTGAATACGTTGGAACTGGTTGAATTCGGAGGACCCTGAGAACTGGCTGAATACTGTGAAACTGGTGAATTATGAGGATCATGGGAACTGGCTGAATACTGAGGAACTGGTTTAATACTGAGGACCCTGGGAACTGGCTGAATACGGTGGAATTGGCTGAATACTGAGAACCATGGGAACTGTCTGAATACTAAGGAACTGACTGAATTCTGAGGAACTGGTTGAATACTGAGGACTCTGGGAACTGGCGGAATACTGTGGAACTGTCTGAATACTGAGGAACTGGCTGAATTCTGAGGACCCTGGGAACTGGCTGAATACTGAGGAACTGGCTGAATTCTGAGGACCCTGGGAACTGGCTGAATACTGAGGAACTGGCTGAATACTAAGACGCCGGGAACTGGCCGAATTCTGAGGACCTCGGGAACTGGCCGAATTCTGAGGACCTCGGGAACTGGCTGAATTCTGAGGACCCTGGGAACTGGCTGAATACTGAGGACCCTGGGAACCTAGGATCTGGCAGAATACTGAGGACCGTAGGATCTGGCTGAATAGTGAGGACCCTGGGATTTGGCTGAATACTGAAGACCCTGAGATCTGGCTGAATACTGAAGACCCTGGGATCTGGCTGAATACTGAAGAACTGGATGAATACTGAGGACCCTGGGAACTGGCTGAATACTGAGGACCCTGGGAATTGGCTGAATACTGAGGACCCTGGAATCTGGCTGAATACTGAGGACCCTGGGAACTGGCTGAATACTAAGGACCCTGAGAACTGGCTGAATTCTGAGGACCCTGGGATCTGACTAAATACTGAGGACCCTGGAAACTGGCGGAATTGTGAGTACCCTGGGATCTGGCTGAATACTGAGGACCCTGGGATCTGGCTGAATACTGAGGACCCTGGGAACTGGCTGAATACTGAGGACCCTTGGATCTGGCTGAATACTGAGGACCCTGGGATCTGGCTGAACACTGAGGACCCTGGGAACTGGCTGAATTCTGAGGACCCTGGGAACTGGCTGAATACTGAGGACCCTGGGATCTGGCTGAATACTGAGGAACTGGCTGAATACTGAGGACCCTTGGATCTGGCTGAATACTGAGGACCCTGGGATCTGGCTGAATACTGAGGACCCTGGGATCTGGCTGAATTCTGAGGACCCTGAGATCTGCCTGAATACTGAGGACCCTGGGATCTGGCTGAATACTGAGGACTCTGGGAACTGGCTGAATACTGAGGATCTGGCTGAATACTGAGGACCCTGGGATCTGTCTGAATACTGAGGACCCTGGGATCTGGCTGAATACTGAGGACCCTGGGAACTGGCTGAATACTGTGGAACTGCCTAAATACTGAGGACCCTGGGAACTGTCTGAATACTGAGGAACTGACTGAATTCTGAGGAACTGGTTGAATTCTGAGGAACTGGTTGAATTCTGAGGAACTGGTTGAATACTGAGGACTCTGGGAACTGGCGGAATACTGTGGAACTGTCTGAATACTGAGGAACTGGCTGAATTCTGAGGACCCTGGGAACTGGCTGAATACTGAGGAACTGGCTGAATTCTGAGAACCTTGGGAACCGGCTGAATACTGAGGAACTGGCAGAATTCTGAGGACTCTGGGAACTGGCTGAATATTGCGAAACTGGCTGAATACTGAGGAACTGGCTGAATTGTGAAGACGCTGGGAACTGGTTGAATACTGAGGAACTGGCTGAATTCTGAGGACCTCGGGAACTGGCTGAATACTGAGGACCCTGGGAACTGGCTGAATACTGAGGAACTGGCTGAATTTTGAGGAACTGGCTGAATTCTGAGGACCCTGGGAACTGGCTGAATTCTGAGGACCCTGGGAACTGGCTGAATACTGAGGACCCTGGGAACTGGCTGAGTACTGAGGATCCTAGGATCTGGCAGAATACTGAGGACTGTAGGATCTGGCTGAATAGTGAGGACCCTGGGATTTGGCTGAATACTGAAGACCCTGGGATCTGGCTGAATACTGAAGACCCTGGGATCTGGCTGAATACTGAGGATCTGGCTGAATACTGAGGACCCTAAGATCTGGCTGAATACTGAGGACCCTGGGATCTGGCTGAATACTGAGGACCCTGGGAACTGGCTGAATACTGTGGAACTGCCTAAATACTGAGGACCCTGGGAACTGTCTGAATACTGAGGAACTGGTTGAATACTGAGGAACTGGTTGAATACTGAGGACTCTGTGAACTGGCAGAATACTGTGGAACTGTCTGAATACTGAGGAACTGGCTGAATTCTGAGGACCCTGGGAACTGGCTGAATACTGAGGAACTGGCTGAATTCTGAGAACCTTGGGAACCGGCTGAATAATGAGGAACTGGCAGAATTCTGAGGACTCTGGGAACTGGCTGAATATTGAGGAACTGGCTGAATTCTGAGGACCCTGGAAACTTGCTGAATACTGAGGAACTGGCTGAATTCTGAAGATGCTGGGAACTGGTTGAATACTGAGGAACTGGCTGAATTCTGAGGACCTCGGGAACTGGCTGAATACTGAGGACCCTGGGAACTGGCTGCATACTGACGAACTGGCTGAATTTTGAGGAACTGGCTGAATTCTGAGGACCCTGGGAACTGGCTGAATACTGAGGACCCTGGGAACTGGCTGAACACTGAGGACCCTGGGAACTGACTGAATACTAAGGACCCTGAGAACTGGCTGAATTCTGAAGACCCTGGGATCTGACTAAATACTGAGGACCCTGGGAACTGGCGGAATTGTGAGGACCCTGGGATCTGGCTGAATACTGAGGACACTGGGATCTGACTGAATACTGGGATCTGGCTGAATACTGAGGACACTGGAAACTGGCTGAATACTGAGGACCCTGGGATCTGGCTGAATACTGAGGACCCTGGGATCTGGCTGAATATTGAGGACACTCGGATCTGGCTGAATACTGAGGACACTGGGAACTGGTTGAATACTGACGACACTGGTATCTGGCTGAATACTGAGGACCCTGGGATCTGGCTGAATACTGGGATCTGGCTGAATACTGAGGACACTGGGATCTGGCTGAATGCTGAGGACACTGGGATCTGGCTGAATACTGAGGACACTGGGATCTGGCTGAATACTGAGGACCCTGTGATCTGGCTGAATACTGGGATCTGGCTGAACACTGAGGACACTGAGGTCTGGCTGAATACTAAGGACACTGGGATCTGGCTGAATACTGGGATCTGGCTGAATACTGGGATCTGGCTGAATACTGGGATCTGGCTGAATACTGAGGACACTGGGATCTGGCTGAATACTGGGATCTGGCTGAATACTGAGGACCCTGGGATCTGGCTGAATATTGAGGACATTGGGATCTGGCTGAATACTGGGATCTTGCTGAATAATGAGGACCCTGGGATCTGGCTGAATACTGGGATCTGGCTGAATACTGAGGACCCTGGGATCTAGCTGAATACTGGTATCTGGCTGAATACTGAGGAAACTGGGATCTGGCTGAATACTGAGGACACTGGGATCTGGCTGAATACTGGGATCTGGCTGAACACTGAGGACCCTGGGATCTGGCTGAATACTGAGGACACTGGGATCTGGCTGAATACTGAGGACACTGGGATCTGACTGAATACTGGGATCTGGCTGAATACTGAGGGCACTGGAAATTGGCTGAATACTGAGCACACTCGGATCTGGCTGAATACTGAGGACCCTGGGATCTGGCTGAATACTGAGGACACTGGGATCTGGCTGAATACTGAGGACACTGGGAACTGGCTGAATACTGAGGACACTGGGATCTGGCTGAATACTGAGGACCCTGGGATCTGGCTGAATACTGGGATCTGGCTGAATGCTGGGATCTGGCTGAATACTGAGGATGCTGGGATCTGGCTGAATACTGAGGACACTGGATCTGGCTGAGGACACTGGGATCTGGCTGAATACTGAGGACCCTGGGATCTGGCTGAATACTGGGATCTGTCTGAATACTGAGGACACTGGATCTGAATGCTGGCTGGGATCTGGCTGAATACTGAGGACCCTGGGATCTGGCTGAATACTGAGGACACTGGGATCTGGCTGAATATTGAGGACATTGGGATCTGGCTGAATACTGGGATCTGGCTGAATAATGAGGACCCTGGGATCTGGCTGAATACTGGGATCTGGCTGAATACTGAGGACCCTGGGATCTAGCTGAATACTGGTATCTGGCTGAATACTGAGGAAACTGGGATCTGGCTGAATACTGAGGACACTGGGATCTGGCTGAATACTGGGATCTGGCTGAACACTGAGGACCCTGGGATCTGGCTGAATACTGAGGACACTGGAATCTGACTGAATACTGGGATCTGGCTGAATACTGAGGACACTGGAAATTGGCTGAATACTGAGCACACTCGGATCTGGCTGAATACTGAGGACCCTGGGATCTGGCTGAATACTGAGGACACTGGGATCTGGCTGAATACTGAGGACACTGGGAACTGGCTGAATACTGAGGACACTGGGATCTGGCTGAATACTGAGGACCCTGGGATCTGGCTGAATACTGGGATCTGGCTGAATGCTGGGATCTGGCTGAATACTGAGGATGCTGGGATCTGGCTGAATACTGAGGACACTGAGATCTGGTTGAATGCTGAGGACACTGGGATCTGGCTGAATACTGAGGACCCTGGGATCTGGCTGAATACTGGGATCTGTCTGAATACTGAGGACACTGAGATCTGGTTGAATGCTGAGGACACTGGGATCTGGCTGAATACTGAGGACCCTGGGATCTGGCTGAATACTGGGATCTGTCTGAATACTGAGGACCCTGGGATCTGGCTGAAAACTGGGATCTGTCTGAATACTGAGGACCCTGGGATCTGGCTGAATACTGGGATCTGGCTGGATACTGGGATCTGGCTGAATACTGAGGACACTGGGATCTGGCTGAATACTGGGATCTG